CACACACACACACACACACACACACACACACACACACACACACACACACACACACACACACACACACACACACACACACACACACACACACACACACACACACACACACACACACACACACACACACACACACACACACACACTAAATGAAATTGCCTGACAAACAAAATATTGAAAGACTTGATTGATGAAAAAAGTGACTTTAATTGAATCAAAATGTTGTTGTTCTTTTTTAAATGAATGCATTTCAGGGTGTGTTTGTATTTAGTGCTCTAATATATTGTAACAGATTATCCATGAAAAGTCCTTGTTCATTTTGAAGTTATCAAAACAATTTAGTATCTTTAAGAGACACTAGAAGTACTTTAAAAAAACATTTTACATATAATTCTAGAGTCCAACCTTTGTTTTCTTAAATGCACTTGTTCATGTTTCGTGCATTATTTGCATGTAATGTTTGCATGGGTGGTTGGTTTAGTTGTTTGCGTACATTTTGTGTTTTCTTATCCAAATGAAACAATTACTTTGGATGCAAAGATAAGTTAAAAAAATACTCTGATAAAGCGAAATTAAGTCTGATTATTTTGACGATTTAGGACCTATTGCAGCTTGTAGCTACTTGCTACTTCAAAAAATTGCTAAAATAGATTTTTTTATAAAGCTTTAAACCGTTAAAGTAGTTAGTGTGAGCCCTATACTGGAGACTGTCATTTTGATTCTCATACTGAGTCAAACATCGGTTTGTTTTTGACACCTTAGTCGATTCTGTGATTGAAAAGTGACAGCAGATTTACAAGAGTCAGAGCTGAGTGAGTTAACGCTGACTCACTTCACGTGATTTGAATAATATGAATGTGTGAGCTGCAACCTGAGGACACACACACACACACAGGCTGCAACGCTGAGTCACTGCTGGGTTACATAAAGTTATATAAAAAAAGAATAAAACAATTGCAGACAATATTCCAACTTCTCCAGTGCTAACATTAAGCGACGTCAAAATGAAAACTTGACACTACACTCCCCCTTTTTCCTTCCTTCCTTCCTCCTTCCCTTCCTTTCTTGCTCCCTTATGTCCTATCGCCTCCCTACCTCCCCCTCTCTTATTCCTCTGTTTCTTATCCATCTCCCCCCCATTGTCCTTCATATGTCCTCCTCTATTTTCCTATCTGTTCTGCTACAAAAATCCCCATCATCATCCTCATCATCATCCACACAACGTGGCAGAGGGCAGTCACACACACACACACACACACACACACACACACACACACACACACACACACACACACACACACACACACACACACACACACACACACACACACACACACACACACACACACACACACACACACACACACACACACCACACACACACACACACACACACACACACACACACACACACACACACACACACACACACACACACACACACACACACACACACACACACACACACACACACACACACACACACACACACACACACACACACACACACACACACACACACACACACACACACACACAGGTATTTTGCGTGTGTTAAACGGTAAAGGTGTGGCGAGGTGTGTTTGGTTTGTTCCCCTCTCCCTCCCTGTTGCAGCTCAGAGAACATTAAGGTCTGGATCATTGCGTTAATTAAGTTAATGCAGCTAAAGTAGACGTTACTAAACTCATGTAATGTTTAGTGTGTGTGTGTGGAGTGTGTGTGTGTGTGTTGGGGTTAATCCTGTCTGGCTTAAATCCCACGCTTTTGTTGCTTCTAATGAATTAAAAACCTGATATTATTAGAGTCATAGAGCACAGTTTAAATGTTGGTAATTTCATTTTACAGGTGAGAGTTGGAGCAGAATGAGGTTCTGTAAACTGTGTTAGATAAAGGAAAATGGTTTCTGCACTAAATTATATATTTCTTTTACCAATTACTCTTTCTTAAGTTATCAAAAACGTACTATTGACAGAACTACAAAATGTCTCTTTGATGTCCAAAGGTGTTGCATGTATTTCTTTAATTTGAAGCTACTGTGATTCTGTAGAATCACTCGAACGCTTCGTCATGACATTTCAAAATCTTTAGTATCACTGCCAAGCCCTGTTTAATGGCGTAAATACTCATTTAGCAACACATGGATTACAACACAGAGCCAGTGTGTGTGGGTGTGTGTGTGTGTGTGTGTCCAGGTGCTAAGCAGTGTAGGCGTTTTGTTGTGTGTTCAGACATGTCTAATGGAGCTCAGAGTCGACGGCAGATCACTTCAGAGAAAAATGTAACCCGACAAGATGAGACGGACTTCTGTGTGGGAGGGAGTTTGTTTTTGATTCACACATTTTGTTTTGTTCTGGTTTTAATGAGGAGTTAAATCACAGCTCTGGAGACGATGGATCCATAATGAGTAGAAGACTAGTGTGACTTTAGATTAAGAAAGATTGTTTCCTGGACGTTCACTGCATGGTTAATACAGTAGAAGGTGGATGTTTCAACATTGGTGGGAACATAGGGACTTACATGTTTCCCATTTATGTTATCTTGCAGTCTTTTTCACAACACATTTCATTACGGTCACATGACTTCACGTCACCACCGCTAAGCTAAAGGCAGCTAATGTTGGGGTATAAAGGAACTACAGTACGGTCACATGACTTCAACGTCACCACCGCTAAGCTAAAGGCAGCTAATGTTGGGGTATAAAGGAACTACAGCACGGTCACATGACTTCACGTCACCACCGCTAAGCTAAAGGTGGCTAATGTTGGGCTATAAAGGAACGACAGCACGGTCACATGACTTCACGTCACCACTGCTAAGCTAAAGGTGGCTAATGTTGGGCTATAAAGGAACTACAGCACGGTCACATGACTTCACGTCACCACCGCTAAGCTAAAGGTGGCTAATGTTGGGCTATAAAGGAACTACAGCACAGTCACATGACTTCACGTCACCACTGCTAAGCTAAAGGCGGCTAATGTTGGGGTATAAAGGAACTACAGCACGGTCACATGACTTCACGTCACCACCGCTAAGCTAAAGGTGGCTAATGTTGGGCTATAAAGGAACTACAGCACGGTCACATGACTTCACGTCACCACTGCTAAGCTAAAGGTGGCTAATGTTGGGCTATAAAGGAACTACAGCACGGTCACATGACTTCACGTCACCACTGCTAAGCTAAAGGCGGCTAATGTTGGGGTATAAAGGAACTACAGCACGGTCACATGACTTCACGTCACCACCGCTAAGCTAAAGGAGGCTAATGTTGGGCTCTAAAGGAACTACAGCACGGTCACATGACTTCAAGTCACCACCGCTAAGCTAAAGGAGGCTAATATTGGGCTCTAAAGGAACTACAGCACGGTCACATGACTTCACGTCACCACCGCTAAGCTAAAGGTGGCTAATGTTGGGCTCTATCATCAATCATTGAAAAAGTTGTTTTTCAACAGTTGAGTAATTTCTTGCATTTAAATGACTGTTTTGATGTGTTCCAGTCAGGCTTTCGTCCAAACCACAGCACTGAGACTGCTCTTGTAAAGGTCTTTAATGACATCCACTTAAACACAGACAGTGGCAGAACTTCAGTGTTAGTATTATTAGATCTCAGTGCTGCGTTTGACACTGTTGACCACAGCATATTACTAGACCGACTGGAGAACTGGGTGGGACTTTCGGAAACAGTTCTGAATTGGTTTGAATCCTACTTAAAGGACAGAAACAACTTTGTTTCTATAGGTAAATACACATCTGAGTTGAC